TTTTTTTTTTTTTTTTTCCCCCAATCGCTTTGCCACGTGGGACGAATCCCTCAGCAAAACTTGTACCTTTCACGAAGGTGTTAAAAAAGAGGGAGAATAAAAAAAGCAACCAACTGGGCTGTATATAGCACACGACTCAGGGGCACACTTGTGCATATGTATATATGAACGTAATAAACTCCTGTACGTCGCATTTCTCCCACGAACTTATATATAAGAAACTTGTGAGAGGGGTGTTAGCGGCCGATTGGGGAAAAAGTAGTAAAGGAAGAAGGTGACAGGTTGAGGAAACGTTTTGAAGAGAATTCCCATCATAAGGCTAGAAGTGAAAAAAAGGGGGGGGCGCTCCGAGTTGCCGTCACGACGCCCTCCGTCGAGATTTTTCTTTTAATCGGCTAACGGGTCAACGGGACGCTCCCCCTCCTCCCATGGATGTGCTGAGGCGGGCGTTGGGGCTGCGGCGCCCAGTGGCCCACAGCGAAAACAAGTTGCTCATGAAAAATGTGAACGAGCAAGGTACACCCCAAGTGACAAATGTAAAGGCAGAAGACTACCCCATCCCGAACAAGTACCTAGAAGACCCCGACAAAATACCCAAGTATTACGTCTTCCAGTCCAATATGGTTACTGATGAAGATTTGCAGCCAGGAATGTTACGCCAGTTAGAAGTTGATAGAAGATTAACACTCCCCACGAGAACTCATATTTCTTTTTTGGTCACAGCCACTGATGTTATTCACTCCTGGTCCATCCCGAGCCTCGGTATTAAAGCCGATGCCATACCAGGCCGTTTACATAAAGTGACAACCTTTATATTGAGGGAAGGTGTGTACTATGGCCAGTGCTCTGAAATGTGCGGTACTCTCCACGGGTTTATGCCCATCGTTGTAGAGGCAGTGTCCCCTGAGGCCTACGCTGCACACGCGCAGAAGTACTACAGGGATTAGGATGCAACCTCCGCGCTTACGCAATGGAGACAGCGAGCCGTTGCACGGGGTTCGTACGCACGTTATTTATTTATGTATACATTTATTTATGTAATTTTTTTTTTTTTTTTTCCCCCATTGAGCTTGCGCAAATGCAGATTCAACTTCATTCGGCAATTCAGAAAATTGATCACGAATAATTATCACACTTGCAACTAGTCAGGAAGGGGGGGGCCACCATGCAGCCATGTCGAGTGTGTCTCCCTCTCCCCCCCCCCCCCCCCCCCCCCCCCCCCTACCTGACTAGTTACAAGCATAATGTTGGGTGTTGTGAAGTCTCAACGCACCCTACACGGAGAAGCTCCCCTAAGAGGGGTAGCCACTGGAACGTGCTAAACGTGTAGACGTGTAAACGTGTGAACGTGCCACCTCTTCATTCGAACAGCCCGTCCCGCGCAGCAACAGTTACACAAAAGTTGTTCTCATTTGGGGAGCCATCGGGAGAGTGCAAGGTGGTGAGGAAAAAAAAAAAAAAAAACATAATGCAGAGGTGCAACTGACTGTTAATATGACATGTGGGGCTAACAGGGTTGTGTTGTGTTTTGTTGTGGTGGGGAAGTCTCCTCGTTATCCACTCCCCCGTGTGAAGTCACCCAAACCCCCTAATCATTATTGTCCCCCCGCGGCCACCAGATTATCTACGCTGCTTTGTTCCACGGAGCTCTTAGACGAGTAAATGGCCTCCGACTTGTTGTCCCCTCCATCAGCAGGACAGTTCACACTTTCCTTTGCATGCTGCTGATTGGAGGAGTCCCCCTGGGTAGTCTCTTTCTGTAGCGCACTGCTCATGAAAGGGTTATTGTAAACCATAGGGTTTTTATAATAATTATTTAGATCCTTATTTATACCACATGTGAAATGTTCATTCTTTTCTCCTTTGGGGATGGGTATATATTGAGCAGGTATAGGTACTTCTATATAACAGGGGACATAAATGGGGACCTGTACTTCCACATACTTGGGTTTAATCTTTGGCACTTGTAACGTTTGTGTTACTAACAACTCGACCCCCTTGGGTACATTTTTTAAAATCTGCGTGTGGTATATCTCCTGTCTGGGATGTACTATAGGGATGTCAATGTATGTTGGTACCTTCACTTCGTTATAAATAATCTCCTCCTTATTTTCTATCACATCAACAACTTGTTCTATCTCCACTTCCTTCGTAACCACTTTTTTTTCCTTCAGCACTTTATCCTTTACCCGTTCTTTAAAAACCACCTTGGGGACCCTTGTGACCTTTTCTATGGTCGTCGTCTTTACTGGCCCACCAGTTACCTTCCGCTTCACATCAGGACAAATATTCCTTGTGAGGAATAAATCTTCCGCGGTAATATTTTCATTCGAATGTGTGATCAGACCTTTCGTGCTACTAAACATATGCTCTCCGTTCGCTTTGAAAATCATCGTGCCTCGTTCTGTCTGGGGGGTGTCCATCGTGGTTGCACTAGTTTACGTGAGCATGCGTGGGCATACGCGGGGCGGCTACTCACCAAATTAATATCCCTCTTCGTCCGATTCACGCTGCTCTGGAGGGACAAGTAACAGAATGAACAGAAGAATGAAAGGGAGCCATTTTCACACGTAGCATGCAGCGATGAGACGAATACAGGGGACATAAGCCACCTTAGGGATGACACCCAATTGACGTAATTAAACCGCCACTTTGGTTGAAAAATTCTTCTTTTCCATTTTTACTTTCTAATGTGTGTGTGTGTGGGGGAGGGGGGGGGTAATTCCCTTCCGAGATGAGATGGAGTTTTTTTTTTTTTTTT